CTCGCCGGTGGCACTCCTGGGGACACCCAGGGACACGGGCATGGCAGCGGGGGCACGGAGCAGGGGGCTGTCATAGCGATGGTGGCACCAGTGGGGTGCTGGGGTGGCACTGGGTGACACTGGGGTGGCACTGGGTGCTCAGGTGGCACTGGGGTGGCACTGGGATTACACCAGGTGACATCGGGGTGGCACTGGGATGGCACCGGGTGACGTGCTGGGGTGGCACTGGGGTGGCCAGGTAGTACTGGGGTGGCACTGGGATTATGCCAGGTGACACAGAGGTGGCACTGGGCACCCAGGTGACACAGGGCTGGCACTGGGCACCCAGGTGACACTGGGGTGGCACTGGGATTCCACCAGGTGACATAGGGGTGGCACTGGGATTATGCCAGGTGACACTGGGGTCACCCAGGGGGTCTCACCAGGATTCCACCAGGTGACACAGGGGTGGCAGTGGCTGCCAGGTGACACAGGGGTGGCACTGGGATTACACCAGGTGAAGTGCTGGGGTGGCACTGGGTGACACCGGGGTGGCACTGGGTACTCAGGTGACACTGGGGTGGCACTGGGATCACACCAGGTGACACTGGGGTGGCACTGAGTACCCAGGTGGCACTGGGATTCCACCAGGTGACAGAGGGGTGGCAGTGGCCGCCCAGGTGCCGCCCAGGTGCCAGCCACGTGTCACCCAGGTGCCACCCGGGTGCCGGGCTCACCTGAAGAGCAGCATCAGCGCCTGGAAGAAGGTGCGGAAGTTGTTGTGCTGGGTGATGGCCGACTCATCGTCCTCCTCCTCGATGCCGATGTTCCCAAACACCTGCGGGGGCCCGGGGCAGCTCAGGGGGGGCTGGGGGGGTCACCTGAACCCGGGGGGGGTCACCTGAACCTGGGGAGTCACCTGAACCTGGAGGGGGGTCACACCCAGGGGGTGCCATCTACACCTGGGGGTGTCACCATCTGGGGGGGTCTCACCTGCCCCAGGAGGGTCTCACCTGCACCCGGGGGGGGTCTCACCTACACCAGCAGGGTCACCGGGGGGGTCACCTGCATCTGGGGGGGTCTCACCTGCCCCAGGAGGGTCTCACCCAGACCCGGGGGGTCTCACCTACACTCGGGGTTCTCACCTGCACTTGGGGGTCTCACCTGCCCCAGGAGGGTCTCACCCACACCCGGGGGTCTCACCCGCCCCCGGGGGTCTCACCTGCATCCCGATGATGGCGTAGATGAAGAAGAGCATGGCGATCAGCAGGCACACGTAGGGCAGGGCCTGGGGGGCACAGCGGGCCGGTCACGGAGGGCTGCGGGGGGCCCTCAGGGGGACACAGGGGACAGTTTTCGGGGGGTTTCGGGGGGCACCTTGAAGGACTGGACGAAGGTCCAGAGCAGGATGCGGATGGTGTAGCCCTGGCGCAGGAGCTTGATGAGGCGCGCGGCGCGGAACAGCCGCAGGAAGCTCAGGTTGATGAAGTTGTTCTGGTGGGGCGGAGGGGATAAAAAACAAAAAAAGGGGGTGAGGGGGGCAAAGGCGACCCCAGAAATGGGGTCAGGGCAGGGGAGGGGTGGTGGCGGCGCCCACCTACCCCGAATTCCGTCACCAGGATGTCGGTGATGCTGCCCAGCACCGTCACGAAGTCGAAGATGTTCCAGGCGTCGCGGAAGTAATTCTGGGAATGGGGGGAGGATGTGGGGTCACCGAGCTCGGGGTACCCCTGGGCTGGCCCCAGAAATCTTGGGGTGACCCCGTGGTCCCAGGAGCTGCCTGGTGACAGATCGGGGGTGTTCATCCCATGAGGTCCTCGGGGTCCCCTGAGGTTTTGGGGACCCCAACATTCCTAGGATCTCCTGAGGTCCCTGGGGTTCCCTGAGTTTTGGGGTCTCCTGAGGTCTTGGGATCCCCTGAGGTTTTGGGGTCCCTAAGGTCTTGGTGTCTCCTGAGGTTTTGGGATCCCCAACATCCTTGAGTCCCCTGAGGTTTTGGGATCCCCTGAGGTTTTGGGGTCCCTAAGATCTTGGGGTCCCCTGAGGTTTTGGGATCCCCAACATTCCTGGGGTCCCCTGAGGTTTTGGGATCCCCTGAGGTTTTGGGATCCCCTGAGGTTTTGGGGTCTTCTGGGGTTTTGGGGTCCCCGACATTCCTGGGGTCTCCTGATGTCTTGTCACCCCCCGTGTCCGCAGGGTCCCCAGGGTGGCCCGGGGGTCCCCCCAACCCCGGGGTCCCCCCATACCAGGACCCCGAAGGCCATGATCTTGAGGAGACACTCGAGGGAGAAGAGGGAGGTGAAGACGTTGTTGAACATCTTGAGGACGTTCTCGTAGGTGTCGGAGGCGTCGTAGAACTGCGGGGACAGCGCGGGACGGGGGGGACACAGGGAAATTGCGGGGTGCGGGTGGGTCCGGGGGCGCAGGGACAGGGGCGTTTCCTGGATCCCAG